GTTTAAAACATGTGCATATTAACGATCTGGATGCAATTTTAATATTAAAAACAATTGATTCAGATGTTGTTAATTGCTTGTTCAAAACTTTATATTAATTGTTTGTACAAAACTAAGTATTGGTTGATCATTAGGCTTGTTCAACTGCATAAGATTTATTGTCACTTCTAAGCCATTGATTTCCAATTCAGAGAGGGTGAGTATTGGGTAGGGGTTGAAACATCTACCCTATCGGCGTCGATCCAGTCCACAGATCAGAAACGCGGCCTCGCAGCGTTAGTTTACTTACGGCCTTGCTATATTTCTTCCATCAACTGTAACTGCTGTAACCAGCGCTCGAGTCTCCCGTATCTACGTGCACACGCACAAGTATGGAGTAAAGAAAAGGAGAGAGGGGTACATAGCATACGGTACACAGGCACAACACAAAACAGAACACGGCACCGTACCGGAGAGAAGAACCGCTCGAAACTGGCTGTGTTAAGAGGTCTCCCCTGTCGCAGGTAAAACGCCGCCGCTGGAAAGTGAGTTCAGTCGCGGCCGCGCGATCGCGTCGAACGATATTTACCTGCGCGTGCAAAATCCTGCTCGGCATTCAGGAGCGTAGCCGTCCGCTCCAGGAGCCTCGCGAGTGTGCAGTGCGCCGCTCCGAAAAACCATCCGTCGCAGATACTCAACACGTTGCCAGAGCGACCAGCCAGACAAGGTACGAGAAACTACCTGTTACGCTTCCTAAATTCCACGATTCCCCGTGTTACGCTGGTCGTTTTCAAACACCGATAGTATCATTATTGGTATGTACTACAGGTATATCGGCTTTTATTGACTTCTGTTTGATCTCATGCGACGATAATACAGGATGATTCGAACTTCCTCTGTTAAACGCCCGTCTTATGCAAGAATTATTACACGGGGATGCTGGAAAGCATAGTGCAGATCATGACAAATGTTGTAGCAATCTTTGAGATCTGTTTTGCAACTGCGTTATAATGGTTTCAAGCACTTAAAGATTGTGTAACGATGTTTTATTAAACAGAACTTGTTGTAAGTCGTGAAATTGTATATTATTCGACACAGTGTTACGTAGCATTTTCCTATCACTGCTTCCTGAGGTTTATGACTTTACTGCATGCGTCGTGCTACGTAGATACCTGGATCGTAGTCTCTCTTCACATCTTAACACCTCGACCTTTTACTAACAAGTTTATCGAACACAAAAGAAATACATAGATATATATATATATATCATGTAAAATTGTTAAGCAAATATTTTCCCATTTATATGCTCGCCAATTGCGTAAGTACGGCGATCCGACCTCGACACGGCTGCGTGCACACGCTGATTCGATTTGTCGCCATAGGAAAAGAGTAGATCCGTCCTCGCGGATGACGGCATCGTGACACCCACGTAGATCGAAAACTAGACGAGAATAAGAGAAGCCGCATACCTCGTCGAAAGTTTTGCCATTGAATTCCCCGTGACACTCAAACACGCCTCCGCGTGATCGTTGAACGTCATTCCCCTCCTACTCCTTTTTACTTCGTTCCCTTCTCTTTCCATAATTCCTCGAATGATTCGTACAATTTCCACGCTGCTCGCGCGCAGTTTTCACTTTCTCGAAAAAACATTGCCCCCTTCATGAGCAATTTATTAGCCCTTGCACCATAAATATCAATACCTATACATGTATTTTTAAATATACTTCTAAACATGACGACTAGCCGATACGAATTTACAATTTTTGTAAAGGTAATAAGTACACGATAGACTTTTTTATCATGGAGTCATTTGTATAGATAAAAGTCTACTATTTGCATTTGAAGTTGCATATAAAAATGTATACGGTAAAGTACAGTATAAAACAAACGTTTATGGATATGTCTACGTCAACTATTAAAAGTCCAGATGTTAATCATTATGACATGTAATCAGATCTCTTCGATTTATTTTCGCTATTTATAGAATCGTTCTATACTTCTAAGTGCTATACTTACGTCAGTAATAAGGAAATTAAAAATTAGAAAGTTTTGATATGTGCATATGGCATCTTTATCTGAACAAGTTATTGGTGATTGGTAACATTCGTAATAACCGGTTGTAAGAGATAATTACTTTCACTGACTCGCATGCACGGACGAAGAGCCCAATCTGCATGAAGGTAATGAAATTATAAAAGACCGTCGAGAGAAAGAGTTGGAGTTTTTAAGAAGCAATTGGAATTGCTTTGAGAAGACGGAAACAGGCATAATAATAAACAGACTGCGCATTCATATGAAAAACAAAATATGTATAATTTGAATTCAGAATGCAATTTAGATAACTTATCCTTTAAAAAGTGATAATGTATGTATACTTTTGTACAATATTAGATATTGAATATATTTTCGAAATCTGCAAGTTTCCTTGAAAGTGCATAAAATACGCAGTCTACTAATAAGTATTGCCGGTAATGTGATGATTTATGAGTAAGCTCTAAAAATGTTGAACACATTCACATCACACATTCAAAAAAGTAATTCTGCGATTCGCGGATTATACGTAAATGTCAGTGGAATTTATGTTTTGTATGCAGATTTCACTATTATGTGAAGCAAGATGCGTCAGGGAGGACCGGCTTCTACGTTTCAATCGTAAAACGACGAAACTTGTTTTTTAGCTACATGCGATTCCAAGAAAGCATTTCCTTGCTAATCGGGAATGGCAGGGGTCGTGGATTTATATATCCAGGGTATTTTCAAAAGTATGGGTTTAACTTTGAGGATACATTCAGTACACTAAAATAAGACACAAGGCTCCTATGAACATATGCCCAATATGATTACGTTTCCAAATTATAGTCGTTTTCAAATGTGTCAAACATGTTATTTAATAATTTTCATAGATCTTCTAATTCCTTCAAAAGTACCAGGTGTTGTTTGAGATCATTGACCACACTCTTGAATACGATATCCCAGTTCTTCAACATCGTTTACTGATGCGTCGTAAACCAAAGACTTTATATAGATGGCCCCACAAATAAAATCCAAGGACAAAAACAAATCTTTACGACCAATCGATTTATTGAGGGATTTGTAATTTAAAAACTATGTCGCTAGTCGACTAGCATGTGGTTGATGACATCATGCGATACGTCTTTTAATAGTTCGTGAAAGTCTTTCCTTAACAATGGGAAAAAATATTAACTGTATGATTTACCAGTTAATGTCCCATTTAGTCCGATCTATATCTAGCTATAAAAACTAGTCCGATCAATATCAATACAATGAAATCCTTTACTTATCTCGGAATGTAGAAAGTGTTTGGATTAAATACATTTTGTGATGTTTTGTACGAACTGATAAACCATATTTGAAAAAAGCAATCACGGCTTGATATACTATTATACTGGTATAATAATTTGCGTGCGGTGTCTCGCTGTTGTATGGAACGCGAGATGCCGGGGAGGTCCGCGTTTCGCCAGCTTCTACATTTCGGCCGCAAAACGACGAAACCACCACGGATAAACGAGCCGACCGAGTCCGGGTACCGCCCCCCGTCGAAAACCGGTCCTGCTCGCGGCCACTAGCCGATTTTGCCTCGCGAACCACACGCGATCGCCATCTTGGATCCGGCGTGGATGACGTCATTGATACAAGGCTCGGCCGGCTGCTTGCTCAATTCTAGCTGCAGCTAGAGGTGGAAACGGAGCCTCGATAGCAATGCTTCGTTGAACGGGCCTTGGCTATAATTTTTCTCTCTACCTTCAATTCAATATAAACCGTATCTTACAGTATTCTAACTACTCTTATACTCTATTCTATTAACGATGTCTACTAGGAGACATGACAATTTATACATGATCTCCCTCGTGATTCTCTCTTTTATAAAGTCTCAAGTTTACGTCATTGAAAATTATCAGAATGATCACAAAAAGTACAGTCTTTAAATGTCCTCGAGTAGTTATGCATAAATTGATAAGCAAAACATGTATTTCATTTATTATCGTTTAATCATACATCCAAGGAACTTCAAGAATTGATAGTATGGCAATTAAATATGGAAGAGGGTTTGCTCTTATTAGTATCCCTGTGCGTTATCTATTCTATGTAATTGGCGCTTAATGTACAGTGTACACAGTACAATCCTTTCATAAATCCCTTTATGTACCCTTTACCTGTAATTCATTATTCACATATACATAATAATAATAATAATATACATATATTAATAAATAGATGTTAATGGAACACTTATGAATTAATGTAACCCTTTTCAATGATTATGGGCCCAGCAATATGGAATGTGATAAAAATATTCATTAGAAAATACTATTTGTACATCTGGCTGTTGTGCTCTTGCTTCATATGAATGTGAAATATTTTTGCTTGATTAGTATTACAAATTGCGCCGTGACCCTTACGAAAATTTATTCAAGATATATTATTATTGAACGATTGTCTACTTATTGCGTATACACTGAATTAATTTACGCCACTACGTGGATGATGATATTGATGATATATCATTGATTGCGATCGAACAATGGAGTGTTGCTTAAGATTCTACGCCCATGCATTTTCATTTCCTTTGCGATTTCAACCAGTGTAGTATAACAAGAATNCACGGCTTGATATACTATTATACTGGTATAATAATTTGCGTGCGGTGTCTCGCTGTTGTATGGAACGCGAGATGCCGGGGAGGTCCGCGTTTCGCCAGCTTCTACATTTCGGCCGCAAAACGACGAAACCACCACGGATAAACGAGCCGACCGAGTCCGGGTACCGCCCCCCGTCGAAAACCGGTCCTGCTCGCGGCCACTAGCCGATTTTGCCTCGCGAACCACACGCGATCGCCATCTTGGATCCGGCGTGGATGACGTCATTGATACAAGGCTCGGCCGGCTGCTTGCTCAATTCTAGCTGCAGCTAGAGGTGGAAACGGAGCCTCGATAGCAATGCTTCGTTGAACGGGCCTTGGCTATAATTTTTCTCTCTACCTTCAATTCAATATAAACCGTATCTTACAGTATTCTAACTACTCTTATACTCTATTCTATTAACGATGTCTACTAGGAGACATGACAATTTATACATGATCTCCCTCGTGATTCTCTCTTTTATAAAGTCTCAAGTTTACGTCATTGAAAATTATCAGAATGATCACAAAAAGTACAGTCTTTAAATGTCCTCGAGTAGTTATGCATAAATTGATAAGCAAAACATGTATTTCATTTATTATCGTTTAATCATACATCCAAGGAACTTCAAGAATTGATAGTATGGCAATTAAATATGGAAGAGGGTTTGCTCTTATTAGTATCCCTGTGCGTTATCTATTCTATGTAATTGGCGCTTAATGTACAGTGTACACAGTACAATCCTTTCATAAATCCCTTTATGTACCCTTTACTTGTAATTCATTATTCACATATACATAATAATAATAATAATAAT